TAGACGCTGAAGCCCAGGGAGCAGGAGACGGCAGGGCTCATGTCTGCACCACCAAGGAGAAGATGGTCTGGAAAGAAAACAACTTTGAGAGCCTTGTTCTCGGAACATGAGGTGCCCCCTGGCTCAGTAGCTGGGTCCCCGTGGGAGGGCCTCCTGGCACAGCTCAGCCTGGGAACTGGCAGCGGCTACAGAGTACCTGGCGGGGCCCACCCAAGGGTCTGCCATGGCAGCGTGGGCTTTTCCTAAACTTCTGGCGAGAGACACCCAGTGCCCCAAGCGACCATTGTGATGCATGACGAGTCAAGTGCTTTCAAGTCTCTCCATGACATTGGGAAATCGTTTCTTTGTGATTACAGTGGGAGGGGAAGCCAGTAAGTATATGATTAACTTGGAGAGGCCTCAACTGGCCTCTGACTATTTGGAAGCGGGGTTAAAAAGTCTTCCTGTGCATGAAATTGGAGCATTGCCAAGGGAGAAAGCTCTTTGTTCCCTACACACAGATCCCGAAACCTTCTGAGGAGGAATGTCCAAGGGTAGCTTTCGGCAGAGCCCCCTGAAGCTACGGCCGCGCGGCTAGGGGTTTGCTCTGTCCAGACAGGGAAGTCCAGGACAGGATGGGCCCCGTATCCCGGGGAGCCTTCTCTCTTCCGAGGAAAAGACTAACTAGGAGGAGGGTTGAGTGGGAACAGCTGGGCATGAAGCCCACAGGGAGGAGTGATGTAGCTTGAGCTGGTGCCTGGACAAGTTATGCCAATCTGATTTCTGCTGACGTCAGTCTTAGAGACACATTTATAACTTTTATAAAAGAACTAATAGTGCGCAGACCAGTACTCGCCAACGATGACGGGTCATAGAATCTTTGCGATGGATGGAGAACATAGAGTCCAGCCTTCTGGCATCACAGGTGAAAAGACAGAAGCCTAAAGGGGCAAACTGATTTGCCCAAGGCCACAGTCCCCTTTGGTGGTCAAACTGAGATGGGTGCCAGGCCTCATAATCCCCAGAATGGGGTGTCTGTGAGCCTACACATCCAACTGCTCTTCTGCCTCCTGCCTCAGTGAGAGTTACTTTACAATTCTATAAGATTTGACAACTTTGCTAAGACCCACTGTGTGGAGAAATCAGCTCCACAACGAGATTCCCATGTTGCAAATGTAGGAGAATGAACAATAGACCAGAAGGAAGTTCTGGAGATCCACGTTGGCTCCAGAGGAGACAGAAAGCCTCAGTGACCTGCGGGCTCTGCCCTGTGACGTGTAGGTAGCTCATGTCCTACCTCTGGCTTTGGGGATTCTACAAATCCAGGGAGTGAGCAGGGATAAGGAGATGTGTGTGTGTGTGTGAGTGCACGTGCATATATGTGCACATGTGCATATATGTGTGTGCATGCACACAGGTGCATTTGTGTGTATGTACATGTGTGTGCCTGTGTATATGGTTTTCATGAGCAAAGTGGACATGCTGGCCACAGGTCATACTATAACACACTTCCCATGAAGCAGCTCAGCCAGACTCACCCTGGCACAGGCACAGACGTCTGTATCTGCAAGCTCAGAGCTGTAGCGGAAGTGTTTGGCTCAAGTCAGGAAACAGAAAATGTCGGGGGAGAGTCAGACAAGTGGAGTTTCTGGAAAGAATATGGATTTTACATGAAATGTTAAACAAATGTGTCTGACAGTTTTGAAGGCAGGTAAACAAAATCAAGAGCTTCTGTGGATATGAGTTAGTGCTGCCAGACTGGGCATTTCCAGCCCCAATCAGTGCTTCCTGCTGCAGCACTAAGTTCCTGATTCCCATGGGGTGGTGGAGACAAAGCTGCCTTAAGTCTTGAACATGGATAACTCAGTTCTTGGCCAAGGTGTCCCCACAAGGGCAAGCTGATGCTTACGATAAAGGGGTAGAACAGAATGTGTACCTGAGACATTCCATGCAAGTTTAAATGCATAAAACATGCCCCACAGCAAGGCTCCTCATTGTGGACTTTGTGGAAAACATTTTGTTTATGTGTCCAAATAGTCTCCTCAAATTTGACTGTGTGCTCTATGAACCCACCTTGTTTATTTCCAATGCACACATCGCCACAGAACATGCTTGCCACCCCTGAGGACAGTGCAATGAATGTGCCAATATTCCAAAAGAGACACCTGGAAAAGGCTGGAGCAATGGCAGCCACTTTGTTGTTCATGGGTGTGGACCCCCAGGGCCATGCTTCAGGAGAAGAGCTAACCCTTTTGTGTGGGTCTTTGCTCTGTGGATTTTTCAATCATTGTGTTGCTTTATGACCGTACCCACACTGATGCCATTGAGAGTTTCATAACAAAGCATTTTCCGTCTTTTAATCCAGCAAAGTAAAAGCAATGGAATATAAAGGTCTTTGTTAAGGGACCAAGTCCAGAAAGGATATTGTTAAATAGTGTCTCATCTTTAATCATTGACTGAAATGAGCATCAAGGCAAAAGGAAGAGAGGAAAGCAGGATTTCACTTTCTTTTCATTGATTAGAAAGAAAGCAAAATACTGATTAAATTGGTATAATTACTAGTAAGAAAAGGTTATTGCAAATGGGGTGATCTCTGAGCTCCCTAAGGAAACATTACGTCAGAGCACCACTCATACTAACACTGTTGTATCGTGTTCTATTCCACAACACCATTGCCATTTCAGTGAAAAGGGAAGAAACTCAAGACTAGACAATAGCTTTATTGCTCCACAGACTAGAGTGATTCCAAATATGAAAAGGGAAAGGTGATGGAGTTACAGATGAAAACAAGAACGGCTTGAAAAATAGAGCTGTGAATTTGTGGAACATGAAAGTACGTATTTAATTAAAACTGATGGGCCAGAAGATGCTTAGCCTGGGTGGTGAGGAGAGGTACATATGTGGTTTATGATGTGATTCCCAACATGCACCAAATAGTAGCTCAGCCTTGAGATCCAGGAGTCCCTATTTTACTAAGCCTGCAAACAGTTACCATGTCCCAGGACAGCGGGCGGTCACCCTGCAGCACGGCGCGGGGATCAGATGTCTGCATACAGCGGGAGACAGAGGTGTGGCCACAATGTAAGTGTGAGCTGCCAAGATTTACCAGCGGTGGGACTGTTTCCTTGGAAAGTCTGCCTGTCATTTGGGATTTCGATCTCCGTAACATTCCCGTGAATTTCATTCAGGGTTACTTTGGAGAGGCTGCTTTTGGAATGGAGATGTCTGCTTCCCAAAGCCCTCTTTTCTTGTGACTTACAATTCCATGACTCCCTACAGAAATTATTCTTCAAAAATAGCTCCCAGTTGGCTGTCATCCTGCCTTCCTCTCGATGGCTAGTTAATGCTCTGTGTCAGCATACAAGCACAGCTTCCTCTTGTGACCTGGAAGTTTGTTTTTGTAAAAAGTCCCTGATAACAGTCATGCTTCCTGTAATGATTCGATTTAATACAGCGTCCTTAATCTTAAGATTGAATTGCAGATGAAAGGATGTAGTTAAATTACAGGGAATGAAACAAATCATTGCTTTGAACTCCCCTCCAATCACCTTCTCAGAAGTGCCTTACTTTTTCCAAAATACTTAGTGTATTTACCGTAATAACATCAAAGGTCACAGTAAGCTAGGGGCGCACATTTCTTAGCTGAGAGGCAACAGCTTTGATTTCTTGGTTATTAGGGAACAGGTATCCTAGAATCACTTGTGGCAGTTCCCTTGGAGTCTACTTTTGAGTGGGCTCTACCTTTTTTTTAACTTGAAAGTTTTTGAGGAGTGAACTTAGATATCTTAAGGGGGTGGGAGGCCTGAGTGCTAGATACATGTTGGATGGGCTGGACTTAAGGTGGGATCACAGTTAACACATCATGGAGTAAGAGCTGCTGAAGCTTCAAGGTGACTTTTAAGTTGTCACATCTTGGTTTTGCCCACCCAGTGCTGGGGATGAGCACCGAAATCATCAGCCTGATGCTCTAGCCGGTGTCTGGGAATTTGGGCTCCTGTCTACCCATATGGGGGACACCTTTGAACCCATCCTTCTAGAATTGGACCCCAGAAAATGCCTTTTTCCCTTGCAGAGAGCTCAAAGAGCCTGCTGCTCCATTCTACACGGAATGCACCTAGTGCCCCGTGTCCAGCTAGAATGTACTTTTACTCCTTGGCCAAGCCAGGCAGTCATCCTTCCAGAGTATCCCCTTTCTCTAATCCTGGTCCAAATACTGTAACTTCCACGTGAAGAGACATTTATGCATTTTTGCTTTTCTGGAGGTGAGTATAGTTTGGGATTATGTGCATACGCTCTGCAGGGTTCTCAGATTTATCAAGTAAATCTAGAGGCCATCCAAATAAATTTGAAGTTTTTTTCCCCCTAATCCTATGCAATTTTGTAATTTATTGAAAAAATTTGAATTTATTGAAAAAATTCCATGGAATTTATGTGCCTTATATCTACACATATGGCATATGGGACACCTTTGGCTTTTATGCTCGCAAATCAATTATGTCCTTGACCTCCAAAATCCATTCTTGCAATTTATTAGGAATTAACTATCAGCTCCAGTGAACAGCCTTTTCTTGATATTCCACTTTTAAATACTATCAACACATCAATTGAAAAATAAAAATTTCTTTTTCCATTCATTGTGTGTCTAAATGCTCATAAGTTATTTGCATTGATTATTTTTCAAGCTACCAAATTCTTTGACTTGAAAGAATGGAGAGCAAGGATGATAAACAGACAACCAAACACGCATCAAGCTACAAGGATCAAGGAGACAGAAGAACTGACAGAGGATGAAGATGAAGTCAAATGGATGAAGCTTTATTTCTGCCTTGTGTTTCCTTTGGATTAAGCATTGATCAGAAAATCATTGGAAAAAGCTACATTTAATCCATTGGTATTTCTTGAAGGCTAGGAAATTGCTCCTCCTGGGAAGCCAGAACAGAATGACACAGCCTGTTGTCAGGTAAGACCAAATAACCAATTTTCCCCCTACAAAGAAGTACTTTTCCACTGGGGGAAGTCCCTTTACATGAAAGACTCATCCATCAACAATGAGCTTGTATTTTTGTACATGTTTCTCACACATTTCTTAATCTCAAGAGAAGGCTTTGTTTCAGATTTCTTTAAAAGAAAATCAAAATGACGCAACAGGAAAAGAAGAGCTTGCTAATAAATACCAGTGCTTCCAGAATTTAAATAACTCTTTTCCCTTTAATCTCAACAAGTTCTAACCTCACAATCTCATTGCAAATTCTAATTCTGGAGGCTACCTCTGCTCGGAAGTCACATTCCCTCTGAGAGCAGAAACTATTTCCTGCTGTCCACAATTCTAAGGACTGGTTGGCAATTTGTTCTGATTAAAGAAGAACTGAAATGCACAAAGGGTAAAATGTATGTAGTTCATCAATTAGAAGTAAAATATTAAGTGTCAGACTTTCCAGCAAAAGCCTTCCTACGGGAAGAAAATCAAATGCATCTTGGACCTATCTCAAGTCAAATATTGGCGCTCATGTGCATCCCACGACCTCGAATATCAAGACTTGAAATGCTAACATCTTTCATTAAAAGAATTGTGTCTCAGAAAGCTATAATAAAATAATTTACATTCAAAACTAGTTATTCCAAATATTTAATAGGAAAAGTCTAGCAGGAATGAAAATCAAGCTCCAGGGCCTAGAAGTCTTTGTTAGGCCACAAGGTGAAATGTCTGACCATGAGAACAAAATACCGAACCAAGGCCAGGGGTGCTCCCTGACTGAGCTGCCAGTGGGAAGGCCTGACGCTTGGTTTGTTTTTCTTCTCCCTCCTTCTTTCTTCAGATGATCATGATGATCTCCAGATGATCAGATGTGGAGGATTTGATCAAGGGAGAAAGTGTAATGGAAAAGAGAATGGCAGAGACTGTCACATTTTTATTGATCTAATTTACATTTTGATGCTATCAAAGGAGAGTCAATGAAAATTGAACATTTAATTCAAAGAAAACCCAAACAAATAGTCGTTTAAACTCCTCTAAATATCTGGTCCACCAGCTGATGGCATTTTTTACTCATAACTAGCTAGTTTAGTCTTCTTGAATCTCTACTCTTGAAAGGCAAAGGGAACCCGTATCCACCTCCTCCCCAAAGGTGGTTCATGGTGAGGTCAGCTCGTCAGCGTCTGCTGGCTGTCTGGAGGTACCGAGTAAGTACAACATATTTCATTACGGAAAGAAGACACGGCTCGCAGATTACACAGACTTGCTGTTTACTTTGTGGTTTCTCAAATGGAACATGCCATGTTAGAATGGCCTTACACAGAAGACCTGATGTATTAGAAAAGTTTCAAAATGCTGCAGACTCTTTGGTTCAAAAACATGCTATTCGTCCATCCACTTCAGAGTGGGGTGTTGAGCTGAATCCATTCCAATCAGAAGGTCACAGATATCTGCTTCCTGCATCTTCTGTTAGCATGTTAGCATGAGAGTATTTTGTACAAAGTAGTAAATAATTAGGCAAGTCTGTAAAAACACTCGTTTCAGGCCAGATGTAACTCAGAGCTACATTGAATATTATGCTATAATAAGATTTATTGACTTACACAAATACTGGCTTTCAAGGCATTGCATATTTGGTCTGTGCATAGTGCAAAAATCAGGTGATCAAGTTTTCCAAATTTGACTGAAGTTGATAAGTGAATATATAAAAGATTTCTCAATCTTATGCTAAGTCATTGTCTACCACATGACATAAGGTGTGCGACATCTAATCTGGATCACATTCAAATTAGCGCTGATGTGAATACTGTGGAAAGAATTGAATAGTGCAACAGAAAACTGTAAACCCGTCTGTGGCATTATTTTCCTGTAGATTATACCACAGTATGAAAAACTATGTCTAAGAACTAAAAAAGCTAATACCTAACTACCCTAATGTACTTTTTAAAAAGAGAATGAGGTTCTGAAACAACCTGCCATAAAATCATCAACAGAAAAAGAAAAAAAAATTCTATTAAAAGACAATAATTAAAGGCAAAATCCTTCCTCTTATGCATTGAGATGGTTCTTAAAACCTTTACAACATTCGCTTGTTATGTTTACACCAGCAGTGAGTGTCCAGTTTAAGGTCAGAGTTTTAGCCACATTTTCCACTCAATGGTAGAACATTTGAAAATGTGGTAACATCAAGATAGGACCTGATCGGCTGTAATTCACATCACCACGTCACTCAACCTATATTCAGTTTACTTTTCCCATCTGCTCTGAGTCCCAAAGCTCCTTCTGATAGAAGAAAATATAAACGAGAGGATTTATCATTGATTTCTCTCGATCACGAATGTTTGTCATTAATCATTTCCACCATTATGCTTGAAGAGACAGGACATGTCTCATGTGTGTGCATGTGTTTGCATGTGTGTCACTGTGTGTCGGTGTGTCTGTGTGCATGCACTGTGTGCCTGTGAACATGCAGGTTGTGTGTGAGGTGTCTGTGTACTTGCATGTTTTATGTGTGATGTCTGTGTCTGTGTCTGCCTGTGTATATACATGTGGTGTCTGTGTAGGCATGTGTGAGTGCCTGTGAGTGTATGTGTGGGCTGGTGTGTTTGTGCACACCTGCATTACATTCTTCTTGAGAAAATACATAAATCTGACTTGGTTTAAATGAGAAATCACCTTTTGCACATTTAGCCAATCCTAGCCCAAGTATTCTCTGCTTCCAAAGAAATGCAGGATAACAGGCTCCTAAAATCTGCTAAAGGCAACATGTTACCTTGGTGACACTGAGTTGCGTCAGATTTGGTTCAATACTGAGTGAAGAGTTCACATGCTATCAGATCAGCTCACTCACTCATGCTCTGAGGACCCCTCGTGTGTGAATTTCTCATGCTCAGCTTGTCTCCTCCTGGGGGCCTCCAACCTTGGGGACTTCAGCATCTGAGCAAATTTCCTGGGTTCTGTGCAGCTTAATTTTTCTTTCGTGCTATATCTAATCAACAGCATGGACTCAGCACGAGTGGGTCAACCACTTTCTCATAAATTTCATTTTCTCTTGGGATGGCAGTGGTGGTTCCTTTGTAGACAAGGCAGTTTAATTGATAGGAAGTGAAATGGCTGGCAGGGACACTGGCCGCAGTAACCAAGGAAAGATGGCAGGCCAGGCCTGCAGGCCAGGTGGCCATGGACCCACAGAGGTGGAGGGAGACTTGGTCCAGCGCAGAGATCTCACCACCTCTGGGGGGCTTGTAAAGACACAAGCTCTGATTCTGTAAGTCCAGGTGGGGCCTGAGGGTCTACACTGTGAACAAGCTTGTGGATGGTGCTGAGGGTGCTGGTCTGGGAACCCCATTTTAAATAGAAAGAGCCCAGCACATTCCAACCACGACAGTGTGGACAACAGCACCAGCTCCATTTGTGTGTCTTCATGACGGTTAATTCCTGATGTGGTCAATTTCATTCCATTGCAGAGGTAAAAATGGAATTGCTATGTTTTGTGACTATAGAGTCCCTGTGACCCTTTTAATATGGTGCCCAGAGAGACCCCACTGAACATAACATTTTCTCTGCTCAAAAAAAGAATGTTTTAAAGCAACAATATGTCTTTGATACTTGAATAAATACCTTATATTATAGCTCATATCCTCGCATAGAAATGCATTACCTTTCAATGTCAAATTTCTAAATGTCCATCCATCCAGCAGGACAGGATTCCAGTTGCCCTGTTTCAAAGTGCTTTGAAACGCAGCCCCATTTGGGAAGATTTGAATTTTGAAAGTTCAGGTTAAATGAAGCATTTCAAGGGAACCCTCTCGACGGTGGAAATGTCCATTCAGCTCCCAGGCCAAAGGAAAAGACGGATGGGGATGTTGTGTCGTTTGTAGAGTTAGTGCCTTCGGACGTGTCCGTGTTCACAGTGACCTTGCCTGTGGAGGGAGCACGGGTGGAAGCAGCTGGCAGCCAAGCCCAGGGACCCCGCCGCGCTGTCACACGTTGCTCTGCTGCAGCAAGAGAGTTCTCAGCTCTCTCTCCCGCTGGTCCTCCTGCCTGTACTTCTCCTCCAGTTTCTGCTTCTCAGAATCCGCACAGTAAAAGGTGCAATCTGGGCTCTTCCGGATCTGCTCAAACTGACTGAAGTCGGCCACATACTTTCCGTTTTTGGAGAGAGACACCACGGGCACGAACTCGAAGCCCCAGTAGATCTCCTCAGGGATGTAGGAGGTGCGGCTCTGGCAGACGGCGCTGGTGGACTCCACGGTGGCGTTGAGGAGCACCACCAGCTCAAACTCCTTCTCCTTCAGGTTTTGGGGGGTGAGGTCTCTGAGGGGGCTTGTCTCATCCAGCACATGGTAGAATGTCATGGGCAAGATGAGGAAGGGGCTCTCGGAGGAGGAGTCCACGTGGAATTTGACGGTGGCCTGGTTGAGGAGGATCCGCTCCCCCTCCTTGGTGACATGGGTCTGAAGGAGCTTGCCCGAGAGCTGGCACTGGATCAGGAGGCTCTTCCTCATGTTGGCCACCTGGATCACCAGGCACAGCTTCCCATTCTGCTTGGTGATGACCGCACAGTGGCTGAACTTGATGGTCTCCGCCCGCTTCTTGGGTCTGGCGATTTTAGCCAGAAAGGTGCCAGTGATGAAGATCTCGATTAAGGTTGTGATGACCAGCTGGGCCACCAACAGGAAGATGGCATGAGGGCATTCCTCCGTGATGGAGCGGACTCCGTAGCCGATGGTGGTTTGGGACTCCAGGGAAAAGAGGAAGGCCCCCGTGAGGGAGTCCACCTTCATGATGCAGGGGGTGTGGTTTGAAATCCGCTTGTTGGGCTCTAAGTCCCCGTGGATGAAGGCGATGGCATAGTAGATCACTCCGAAAAGGAACCAGGTCATCACGAACGTGGCTGCAAACAGGGTCAGCTTGTATCTCCACTTCATGTCGATGACAGTGGTCCACAAGTCTTGAAGGTAGAGTAGGTATATGCCGTCCACTTTGTCGATACGCACATTGCTGTGTCCACTCTTGGACATGACCCGGGGCCTGCTGGTCTTGGGCCCGGCACTGGCAGTGCGCTTCACCAGGGGCGTGCTGGACACGCCAATGTGAATGGCATCCATGGTCATGCCTTCGGGGCCACCTAAGGACATGACAAGGAGGCAGAGTTCATTACGGTCATGGGATGGAACTTCCGGAGAATCAAAGTGGGAGAGTCACATGAAATAAGAGTGAATCTGTGGGTGCATCCAAGGAAGAGGAGAGCCCTGCAGGCCAGGGAGGCAGCAGGGGGCGGGAGGTGCATCATCTTTGCAGACAAGCAAGCTGAGTTAAATGCTGGCACCAATTTTCTTGCTGTGTGGCTGAGTAAGCTATTTAACATCTCTGGACCTCAGTTCACTAATCTGCGCTGTGAAATGGGAATAAAATCTACTTTTGGGAGGGAGTTGAATGATGATTAAATGAGATACTATTAGTTGGCAAGGCAGGGCCCCTCACTAAGAAAAAGATGCTAATCTCTATGTGAGGGCACAAAGGATACAGGACTGCAGAGAATTAGGAATATTTAGTAATATTCATCTATCGTGGCTGTCCAGTTATAGGAAATGTAAAGATAAGTTAACTAAGAGTACAGCCATAAGGATAAAACTGAAATGATACAACTCAAAAAACATAAGGTAGTTCTCTATAGAGCAATGGAAGATAGTAATACAACGTTTTAAAAATGTAGCTAGTACAATACAGTACTTTTTAAAGTACCCTTTTGGAACAGACAAAAACAAACCCAAAGGATCCCTTGAAATATACCTGCAGGCCCTGAGGCTGCCACCCCAAGCTTGCATTGGGGGTGGGGAGCAAAGGGCAGAGGGGGGCCAGTGGACTATGGTGAGGACTCGGGCTTCGGGGTAGGCCTGGTGTAATCACGTATGTTTGTAGAGGAGAACCTGTACCCCTAAATTATATTCAGTGTTACGTCAGTAGACATAGTAAAAGTAAATAAAAGTACCCTTTTGCAAGACAGTCTCTTAATTAGCAACTCATTTGAGCCCTCACCCAGGGAGGGACTGAGGCTCTAGGACCTTCTAGTTCCCACTTCCTTTGGAAAAGACTGTTACCAACAACCCGAGCGAACTGCGCGTGGGCTGTGTGGACGGCCTCACTATCAAAGCTCCCTTAGTAAAACTTAATGGATGGCTGGGCCCACTGAGGGCTTGAGCCACAGGCTGGTCACTTTTCCAGAGGGCACTCAACATGCCCTTTGCGGTAGGGCCTTTGGGGGTGCACAGACATGCTGTCTTGCTTCTTGGTAACTAAGTAGAACCTGCATGAGGAATTTATTTCAAAAAGCACATGAAAAAGACTTACAGGCAGAGAACAATGGAGCAGAACAGACCTTACCTAGACGAAGGGCTGGACTCCGGGGAGCCGACCTCCGGGAGCACCGTCGGGAAGGGCAGACGCAAGGCCTGGCCGCCGCTTACACGACCTGCCCGGCGACTGAGGCCGCTCGCCCTGCAGTCCTTGAAAAAGATAATGCGATCTGGGGGTGGCTAGGGGGTGACTCTACCTGACTGGCATGTTTATTTCCACCTCTATGATATTTCAGAATAAAGACAAAAATCCCCATGAAGAGGGAACTGGATATGGCGTCTGTGATTCAAGCCATAATCTTTGCGTGAATTAGAACAGCGTAATGTCGATCCAAGTTTTCCAAGGACTCATCTGGGAGAATCACTTCAAGGAAACTGAAACTGTATCCCTCAGAGGCTAAAACTTGTTGAAGAGGCAGTGGCTCGCTGGGCTTTGCATTTTCCTGTTAGGTTATTTAGGAGTGTCGTTTACTGAGCTCTCCTTGGAGAGATTATTTTTTTCTTGGAAAGGAAAGCTACTTTCCATTGTGGTGGCAAAGAAGAGCCATATGCTCTTCAACATTGATTTCACTCCAGGAAGTCTATTCAACCTACTTTGGGGCTCGTTTAGGAGAAAAGTCCAGGATATGAGCGATGAGCGTGAGCTGCTCAGAAGCAAGAGGAAGCCGTCAAGGCGCCCTTGGGCCCCAGCGCCATGCGGGCTGCCCAGACACATGGCCGTGGGCAAACAGGAGCCCGCCAGGGGCAGGTGCGGTTACTGGAAAAGCAAATGCATGCACTTGAAAGAGAGAAAGAAGCTGCAAGGGGAGAGTGCATGCCATTCACCCAGGGAAATGAAAACAGAGGCTTAAGTTTTCCAGCGCGAGCCATCTGCAAGTGTCCCGCGGGCATGGCGTGGCGGTAGCACAGCCCTCGCCAGGTTCCGTAGGCCTTGGCACTGTTTCTGGGCAAGCGGTGCCATGAGCTTCTGTTTTAACCTCCCTTTCAAAGGGGCAACGAGCCAGGCGTGGGATGAGCCGTATCTTTTCCCTCTTTCTGCAGAAGGCTCTTTTGCGGCGCTTCTGCACCTCTGGGGTGGGAGTTAACGCCGCCCACAGCACCTCCTGGCAGAGGTCGGAAGAGATGACCTTTGGGGCGTCTCAAATCCAGCACCGCAGGGGCTGCCGGCCCCAAGGGTAGCCACCTTCTCCCCTCCTGTGCCCACCCCAGGCTCTCAGGACTGTTCAGTACCTGGTCACGCGCACAGCAGGTCAGAGGCGTCTTCTTCAAGGCCACTGCACCGTCTGCTCCCCTTCACCCACCTGGCTACCATGGGGTCCTGCCACTGCCTGAAAGAAAGAGGGACAAATGGGGTTCACAGGTGTTTACCAAGAAGCCGGCCCAGGGACACTGAACCATGCCCCGAGGCCTGGGGCCCCTGCATTCACCTTCCACTCCCTGGCAAGCTGGCCCGGTGCCCAGAACAGAGTCCAGACTCAGGGGGCGCTGGGAGGATTCCATGGCACCCCAACCACCGGCCCCCTGCCAGGACCCGCCCCTGGAGGGAGTGCGCAGGTTAACACCCTGGAAAGCGTGGGCTAACTCCCCCCATGGAGGCCCACGAGCAAACTGGCCAGCGAACAGGGAGGCAGGAAGGGGAAGTGCAGAGGAAGTAAACAGTGAGAATTGGAAGGGAAGAGTCTAGAATATTTTTACCGCCTGTGGAAATGCATCTGTGACTGTTGAGTCACAGACATCAGAGTAGAAAAGATGGTCAAATCTGTCGCGTTTGTCTCCCACTTTTCAGATGAGGAGACAGCTGGGGCCGGAGAGGGCAGCTCTGCTGGCTCCCTGCGGATCGGTGCGGCCCGGGCTCGGATACCACCCCCAGACCTGTCTGGGCACCGCGCGTCCCCCTCAACCTGCAGAGTTTCATGTCATCAGTTTTAAATTCAAGAGGTTCTGCCTCCGCCTTTTCCAGAGCACTTCTGAGCTCTGAAGTCCACTTCCCTCCTCCATGGCTGCCCCACGCGGCTCGCCTGGGCCGCCGGCGCCCGAGGCGGTCACTGCTCCTGGTGGCTTAGGCCTCCCCACGATCAGCCGGGGGAGCCTCTCATGCGTAGATTCTTCCCGCACGCTGCTGGTTCGTGTGGCAAATGTCCTCTTCGTCATCGCTCTGTGAAGATCCGGGTCTGCTTCTTATAAAATTTTAAATTTGGGTTCTGGTTTTTGCTTTTCCGCCCGCCCGTCTTGCCTGCTTTATCCTCCGTCCCGGCTTTCTGCTCCGCCGTCTCCTTTCACGAAACTTCCTGCTCCGCTGGCAGACGCACTCAGTTCACTTAATTTCAGGTGCCCACCTTAGATCTCTTCTGCACCGACCTGGTTTACCTTCTCAAACATTAAGGGACAGTAACAAGCTTCCTAAAAGGTAGGGGTAGGCAGAACAACAGGCGTTCCCTTGCAGACCCCCGCCTGAGCGCGCAGACCAGCCCTGCTCCACAGAAGCCAGCGGCCTTCGCTGTGGGCCGGGGGGGGGCACGGGTTGTTCAGTTCTCATCCGAGCGATCTGGGGAGCCGGGCCGTGACCTCAGAGCAGCGGCCCCTACTGAGGGCCTCCAAGTCACTGAAGGAGGCCTCGGGATTGCTTTCTCCTCACCCCAGCCCGTGAAATGAACATGTGTGAAGCCCTGGAGCACTTACGCTGAGCAGCGCTGGCTTTGGACGGAGAAAGAAGGCAAGTGAGTTAGTGAAGTGGCGCTAGATGTGATTACGTCGGAAAAGGCCCTCGGTTCCACGAGACAGGACAGGGGATATGGGGAGGAAGCTGGCATGGTCACCCCTGGGGAGAGGACGTTCTGTCAAAGAAAGGGGCTCCTGTGGAAGTGGACTGTCAAAGCCCCGAGCCTTGGGGAGCCCCATAGGCTGTGCTATGGGGGAGCCCTCTGCTTGAGGAGCCACAGGCCGCAGGAGGGCTGGGAGGAGCAAGAGCAGGGGCAGCCTTGGGCCAGTGGGGTCCACAGAGGCGCAGAGAGATGGCAACGAGGGAAATAAGGTGGGGGTAAAACATCCAGATGTTATAATGAATAATAATAGCAATGATAGCAATACCGACGGCGGTGGTGATAATAATAATAATGGCAATGACAGCAATAACGATGGCGGTGGTGATAATGCAGCTTCAGGCCAGGCCGCACGGGCCCAGCGTCCTGGTGGCCTCACTGCCGCCCAGGCCTGCCATGTCCTCTAAGTCCTTTCCCAGCGTGTCCCTAATGAACCTCGCCCCAACCCCCTGGGGGCGAGTGCCGCCTTTCTCCCTGCGAGGGGGCACTGAGGCACCCAGAGGGTAAGAGACCCCCCCAGGCTCCCTGGTGCCCTGTGCAGCTGCCTGACGCCGCCCCCCCCCCCAACACACACACACCGGGGCTGCAGCCCTCGGAACAACCTGCACAAGTCTCTGACTCAGCGGGTTTGGGTTGCAGCCTGGGGATTTGCAGGTGTAGTAAGTTCCCAGGAAGATACTGAGAACCTGCAAACAGTTGGAGGGTCCAACAGCTCGATCGATGAAGACCCCATGGCACGTCAGCCTTGAGAACCCCGTCTATTCAGGCGTGGTCCAGTCCCTGCCTCCTGATGGCTGAGTGCCTGCCACCAGCGGCTCGAGGCTGACACTCAAGTTTTTTAAAGTAGGGGGAATCTGATCAGATACAATATTCCTTATATAAGTTTTATGTCACATACATCGTATTTCATGTGCATTATGCAAACATAAGATGTCTTTTTACATACATTAGGGTGTGTTGCAAATACATCGCTATAGATTACAGTTTATATATTATGTTTATATTAAATAAATATTGTAAAATACTATGGTAATTCTAGTAAAAATGTTAGCCAAAGTTGAATACAGAGACGTCTCTCCTTCCCACAAAGACTCGCTACCCGACGTGTGTTTGCACAATATCTTTTTTTCTCCTGAGTCTTAGAGCAGGACTTTTCCAGCAAACTGTCTTGTGGATGCTTTAAGGAAAAAAAAAAAAAAACAGTTTAAGAATGATTCCCTCTCCTAGTTAGTATAACACTGACCTTCTAAACAGAGTTCTGGTAAATCAAATTTTGGAAGTTTCCAGTTTTCCCAGCCTGGGAAACACCTGTTTAGTGGCCCTGTGTGTGAGCAAAGTATTTGCACCTGCAGCAAAGTAAGTAATGAAAAAATGGGGAGGCAGCATCTCCCCAAAGCTGGTCTCTGTGATGCCAACCTTGTACCTTGAAAAGGGGTGGGGCGACGTGGAAAATGAAATCCAAACCAAACTAGAATTCTGCATTTCCAGACGAAAACTAGAATTTGAGAGGCTTGATTTGAAAACTCTGGCAAAATGCCTTCCTGTTTGTAAGAAAAGTTGCATAAAAGACTTTTTTGGATGTCAAATATTTCTGACAAAACAACTTTTTGATGATCTCTATTTTTGCTAGGAATCTGAAATACCTGGATTACATTTCACTTTGAGGACACACCGTTTAAATATTAAGTAGAAAAAAAAATGCTTGACAAGAATGTACTTGGGGTTCACTGAGCTCCAAGGGTTTAAAACTAATTGAAAATGAAATCAATGAGGCTTAACTCGCCTCTCAAGGCACCTTGGACTTGGACACACGGACAAACAGGGCCTTGACCTGGGCCCCGGCTGTGTTCCTCCTGCTCTTCGAGCCACTCAGACCCGCTCTGGGGCCGGCCTGGCTGTTCTCAGGCCTCATCTGCACCCCACCTGTGTCAGCTGAGGGCACAGCTGAGGACACCCAGACTTTGCCCAGGTGGCTTCAGAAATGTGCACTGAAGCAAACAGGGTGCTCAAAGTGGGCTCTCAGCAAGCCCCCAGGGGGCCCCTAGGGTCCCCTCAGCTGGGGACATAGGGGTCCCCTCCACTGGGAGACAGTGGTCCCCTCTGTGCAGCTCGCTTTCTCCCACTGGCCACAGGAGACGGAAGATGCTGGAAGGAATGACAGCTCCCGGGAGGCTGTGGATGGGCCCTTCTTTCCCATAAGACCTCAGGAGTGGAAAGGAAGTGCCAGTTGAGACATCAGCAAACTCACGACACATCTTAATGCCCAGCTGAACCTAACTGGATTTTTCGGGGTTGCGTTGACTGCTGGTTGCTCCCAGTTACTCGCTGTCACTATCTTCCGGGTCCTTCCCTGCAGGACCCTCCCCCAGGCTTGTCCCTGGCGCTCTTCTGTCCCGAGCAGGCCATGTGGCCTGGCTCTGCCACCGCTGCAGGTGACGCTTGGACCGGCTGGCCCTACTCCTGAGGAGCGGGGAAGGGAGACACCAACACCAGGGACAGCTGGGCCAAAGCTGACTTAAAACACAGGTGAGGAGACTCATCGCCAAAAGCCACTGGATTCTTGGGATTGCTGGTCATGGAGGCAAAAATTAATAAGAGCCTGACCACAGAGACACCCTCAGCACAGGAGGGTTACCTGCCTCGCCCAGGAGGCTCTTGGAGGAAACATGTAGTGTTTGGAGGTAAAAGAGGATGGTCAGGCTTTTTTGCCATTGGCCCCTGTGGCAATTGCCTGCAGCCTTGATCCTGCTAACGCAGAAGGGCCCTGGATGTGGGGCACGTGTGCCTGACTGTGGACACCTGAGCGTGGGCATGTGCGCATGTGCAAGTGTGCACACCTGTGCCTAGGAGGAGGGGATAAAAGGGCAGCGGCTCGAGCTGCCGTCTCGTCTCCCTGCTGGTTTCCCCATTCACCACTAAAGCCTGTAAAAATGCCAAGGGCTCCAAAGTTCTCCTTCAAATCTCTAGAACTGACGGTTACCTTCCCGGCCTGGGAGAGTTGCAAAACAGGGTTGACATGCTCTGATGCAAATGCCAAGTGCTCATCTATGACGGAACACTGAGCGGGAAAGAAACCCCAATCTAACAAGAGTCCAATGGGAAAAAGAAATTTGTGCTGGGTGATGCGTCCGCGGCTGGTCTGGAGACCCCACTTGGGGACGTGATCCCATCTCACTCTGCGTGAATGTGCAGAAATTCACAAGAACGTCAATCAGGTTTCAAAAGCCCGTCTCTTACTCGGAAGGGAAGGGATGGGTCTTTGCTAGGAAGAGACATGGGGTTAGATCTACAAGTACAGCGGCTTGGCGGGGGCGGGGGTGGGGGGTTTCAATCAGCAAGGCAAGCTTCCTAGGTGCAATTGGGGGGTGGGGCGAGGAATGCCCGGGAAAAGGAAAAGGAAAGCAGTTAACAATCGCTCTGGGCTTCTTTCTTAGAGGGTGGGTCTCATTCCAGAGTAGCTTGGGGGTTTGCTGGCTAAGAGCATAGGAGGCTGGGGAGAGCACCCAGATCCAAGGGCTGAAGCAGCCCCGGACTGGGTCTCCCCCCACCCCGGCTACAGCATTCCGCTAACAAGCACGCGGTGGTCTTGGGAGTGTTGCCTACCAAACCCCCGAGGGCCCCACTGTCTCCCCACTGGAGAGTCACACCGCACGTTTGTAGATTACTGAATCTGAGAAATCTGTGCCAGGAGCCCCTCGGCCTACACGCCTGGCGTTTGACGTCTGAAGCACGCTGGGGGTGCTGGTCTGGCCTGTACCCCGCAGTGCACGGCCAGTGAGGGGGGCTGCAGCCTGTCTCTGGGCTCCCCGGCCAAGTCGCTGGGCAGATCCTTCTGTTGTCGTACTTCCTGGGGCTGAGCCACCCATCTCGCGGGATGCTGAAGACAGGGGAGCACAGTGTGAGGGGCCCCCTCCAAGGCAGCTGTGGCGTCACTTGGGAGCTGATTAGAAATGCCAGTTCTTGGCTCCCACTCCCGAGCTACTCAATCAAATCTAGGGGTGCTGCCTGCGAACCCCAGTTGGGAACCCGACCTCTGAAGCATGGTGTGGCTGGAGTGTGTCAGTGGTGGAACGGTGGGGTCTCTCTTGCCACCCCCTGCACTGGGAGAGCAACAAGTCCTCCAGACGAGCCCCATGTTGGCAGGGCTGCGAGCATCTAATGATCCAATTTGCCTCTGTGGTCAAATATTTAGCCTTGTTCCTATGTTTCTGTTCCATTGTTATTGTTTCAAATTCCATAAGTACTGAAAAACCTTTTTCCATCTCTCAATGTGGTTTGCATAGTTATACCCTCCCCTCCTCGACGCAGATTCTTAATTTTTTTCATTCCATAGAACAACCTTCCTCGGCTCGGCATAGACAAGTTTAAACAGATACTGGGCTCCACAGGAGACTCATTTTCCATGGCCAAGAGCTGAGCGCTGGGATCAGTCAGAGGTATCATTTGCCGAATATTTTCGTAAAGACGGTTTAATGTCAGGCCCTTTATTTGCGAGAGCTGGCTCACCCAAATAAAACGTTATCCATCTGTCTGTTGTCACGAGTGACCAACTTCAGCTGCACGTTATTACTTAATAGCAGCTCCCTTGCCTATAGAGGAGCGGCGTGCCGCGGCGAAAGAGCAAATGGAAATTTCCTTTGGTTTACCACCCCGTCTCTCCGTGCCCCGACATGCGGAGGACGCTGGTAATGAGCATATTCTCCCCTCTAATCACAGCATGGCTCGGACGTGCATTGTTGTGGAGTGACTGGCAAGGCAGGAACATTTATGTGAGGAGGGAAAAAAACCAAGGCAATTGTATTGCTCTCCGGCCGTACGCACGCACGGCGCCAGCCCTGTGCAGGGATGAGGCTGCTTTAACCAGCTCGTGGCGTCTTACTCACTGTTCCTGTCTGGGTTAGTGCAAATGTGACCCAGAGGGCTCACAAAAGTCCCCTTTCGATAGGGAAAAGCAATTGAAATGTGGTTGCATTTGTCCTGGAATAAGTCGGAATGGAAAGCATCTGGTTTTGCAGATGGCACCGGGAGAAAACTAGTATTTTATTTAGTGCATTCTGTTTCATGAACGTCAAACAGGGCAGAGTCGGGGCATTCAAAGAGGCAGAAAACACGAGATGCAAGCAAGGTGTTCCCTCTCGCCAGTCCCCTGCTCTGTACTTGGAAATGTCCTTGACACTAGATGGCCTTTTATGATGCCTTGGAATAGAGTTTGTAACTTCTCCGCTTGATCTCCCCCTCAGTAAATCTCTCACTAAAATGAAAAACTCACCACCTTTCACCCCTCACATCTTTGCCTCACATCTATAGTTTTGGTGTTTTTTTTTTTAAACTCTCATGAGGGTAGATCAGGTAAAAAGCACATTATAAACATACGTAGCAATTTCAGACTGACTTGTTTTCTTGGCTTCCTGGTGCGTGATCCCTTTTCTTTCTGTTTAAAAAAATGTGGAATCGTTGGTCTCTCGCAATGATGATTGATGGGCTTTGGTGTGAGTCACCTGGATGCACCCTGGGACTGTCACCACGTTGATGTCTCTGCTCGTGATTATCTCCAGCAGAATCTCTTCCCAGACCAGGGAAGTGGTGATTTTTGCTCAGTTTGGAACCAAGTTATTTAACAATGGGACGAGAGTCAAAAGGTTTTGAAATTCAGCTTGACTGTCAGTCTAAACTTTGACCATATTTCTCTGATAGAGAAACTGGATCTTGCAGGCTCTCCAGGGGAACACAGTTAATACCGAAATTCTTGCATTGTGGTCAATTTACTTTAAGGACTGGTGACATTTCTGAATTGTCTGCTCCTTAGACATAAAAAGCTGAAAACACAGACACTTGTGATTGTTGAGTGATAATAAGAAAATGTCAAAATTCAAAATATCTTCAAATTTCATCCAAGTCTGAGGCCTCTGGCAGTGAACTAATCTCCTTCGTAAACAGGGTAAGAAAATCTGTCTGAACCATGTGCAGCTAATTAGCCGAAGGGCTGCTGGGCCCAGCGTGGAGATTTTAGGGAAGACAAGCAAAGTACAAGATGCCCAGTTAAATCTGAATTTCAGCGGATGGCAAGCAATTTTTATGTGGTTGCATGCAGATGTGTATAATGCATGTTATAGACACACGTGCGTGTGTATGTACCATATGTGCACATATATACATAAACACATAGATGTATACAAAGGAATCCTACATTATTTGCTAAATCTCACTACCCCAGAGAAGAGCAAATTTATGCTCCAGAGTCACTCAGAAGGTCAAGAAACCTTAAGACAAGATTTCATGCACAGACAACATTCTCAGCAGAACAGTCTCCCAGATTCCCCCACCGTAGGATCCCAGAAAACAAGTCAAACCACCGCTGGCTGGGGGTGCAGTTTCTTCCTGCGCAGTCCCCCAAGGCTAGACAGCGAGTCTCCTTTTCAATATTTTAGCCCTGGGATTCTTACCTATTTTGTGCTAGGGTTCTTTCTGGCAAGCTATGAGACCTAGGAGCTGCCTTCTCAGAAGGTTTAAATAGATAAAAATAAAATAAATATAATGACGAGATGCTCAAAACATTAAATGCACTGGTTAAAATAGTTTTAAAAAGCAAAATCTAAAAGCATTAGCATCTGAAGAGCTGGCGCGCAGAAATATTATTTCAAAATCTCTGCAATAACTGTGGGGGGCGGGGGGTTCTAGTCCACTGTTAGAGTCACGCTGTGGAGAATGTCACTGGACGTGGGCATAGGCGGGGAGACAAGGACCCGTTTTGGGTGCAGATGATGAGGAATCAACTGTCCCTTGGCCCTCGTCCTAGGTCACGGTCCTTCTGAACTCTGCCCTCATCTAAACCGCGAGCGAGGTTTCCGCAAGCAGCAATGCTGCTAACGTCCCAGGAACCAGGCCACTTGGTGGACCCCTCGCCTGGTCTCCCCTACAGACGTGCCCTTGACACTAGCTGTTCAGACACTCCTAGAAGGACAGCTGGCGCACTTGACAGTTGGGCTCGTGGTCAGGTCTTCCCATAGGACAGGCCGTCAGGCACAGGTGAGAGCGGTGACCTTCATGATGACGCCCGTGTCGCGGAAGCAAGAAAACCAGAGAGGGACATCCCACTGTCCCCTGCAGTTTCTCCTCCCAGGAGAGCGAGGAGGAACTGCAGAGAACAGCTCCCATACCTACGTCACCCTCCGTCCTCGTCGCCTTACCTGTAGCATTTCTCAGAACTGGGGAGGTGGCTGCAACAGCTACGTCCTGTGAGCCGCGTGCAGCTCTCTGTCATGTGGCTTCATCCTAGCTCTCCCCAGGAGCCCAGCAAGCCTGCTCATCCACAGGGCACCCACACGGCACTCCCTTGGCGAACCTCCAGAGATGCCCGCTGCCCACAGGGCAGACCCTGCCCACCTTTGCGGAGCAGGGGCTGCCGCCCTGGCCCTGACTCCTTCAGCTGTGCTCCCTTCAGGGGGACGCAGGGGCCTGCCTGCCGCTTGTTGGACGGCGCGGCGTCCTCCCGGCTCTGGTTCTGTGGGAAGAACCTTCTGCAGTCAGGTTGAATATTACCTCCTCGGGGTCAGCAAGCCTGAGCCGTCTTCCGAGGCAGTGTGCTGTGAAGGCGAAGGGTACAGGGTCTGCTTCTGTTAGCATCGGCCGAGTGACTTGGGGCAACTTAACCCTCTGCAGCTTGACGTCTTCCTGGGAAGCCCAGCAAAGATCACACAATTCTATGCCTGTTCGTATGTGCGAGGTTCTCCGCTGCTCACACTCACGGCTGCCTGAGTGCTCACTACCGTTACATGTTCCCGAGCATCAAAACACACAAACCACGACCTGATCTGCCTAAAGGAAACCACATGTGCGGCAAAGACAGAGGGTTGATGTTCTGGTCATAGGAAGTCTTTGGACATCTATTAGAACCCGCATCCCTTAAAGAGAAAACATTTACATGTTAAAAATTGATCTGTCGTGGGGTCCAGCATTTCTACCCCTAGGGGTACCCAAAGAATGCAAAACACCAAGCCACAGCATTACATGTGCCCCTGTGTTCACTGCACACTACTCACAACAGCCAAGCTACGCATCAGCCCAAGTGCCCAAGGGCAGGGCAGTGGACTAAGATGTGGTCTCTATACAACGGGCCACTACTCCGCTATAAAGCACAGTGACATCTGGCCAAGTGACAACATGGAAAGAGCCCAGGGGACGGTGCTAAGTGAAATATTCAACAAAGGGAAGGAACAGACAAGCTAAACCAAAACAAACCCTTGAAATCTGACTGCAGAACTGAGGCTCCAGAGGGGGAGAGTGGGGTGTCGTGAGCGAAGGGGATTGGGAGCCCAGTAGTGTGGAAGACAATTGTGGGTACTTGGGTGGTGGGTGTGGTGTGGTGACACACATGTGAAGAGATGTGAGCCTCTGAGTCCTTAAAACACGTCAGCGTGTAAACCAGTGTTACCCCAATAGAAAATAATAGTTAAAACATCTTAAAAATAAAATAGACACTTCAAAAAATTAAAAGGGTGAACAAGACTTGACGATATTGCAGAACACAATTCATTCCCTTGTGCGCCCAGAATGGCTTATGTGCCGGGTGTGAGTCCCACTATGCGCCGGGTGTGAGTCCCACTATGCGCCGAGTGGGAGTCCCACTATGTGCCGGGTGTGAGGGCAACGAGGAGTCTGTGGCGAATCTGACAGGCTTGGCTCATGCATTCATGTACTTTACAATAAAGCAGGGAGGGAGGTGTAAGTCAACCACCAGATGGATTATTTCACGACATCTGTGGGACGAATGAGGAGAATCAAGGTGGGCTTGAGGACAGAACATGGAGTACACGCGCCTTGGTTTGGAATTCCAGGAAGGCTTCCCTGAGGAGGTGGCATGACAGCAGAGACTTACAGGGTAAAGGGTGTGTGGAGGTCAGTACGTCCTGGGCAGGGCCACATGCAGCAATTGCAAGGGCACAGGGCGGTAGGCCTTGGCACCTGGCACGAAGTGAAGATGGAGCGAGCAGGGGGCAGCAGAGCAGCCGCCTGCAGGAGCCCGGGGCAGGGTCTCACTCTGAGGGCAGCCGAGGCTCCCCCAGCCATGGCCTTCGCCCCGGGGCACGAGAAGCAGCTCAGGTTGTGTGAAGGGTGATATCGTGTTGTAAAGCTGTCATTTGTGACACGAGAGGAAGAAGGGTTTGGAAAGAGACGGGCTCCATGCCGAAAGTCGTGGTCAGTAACCCCGAGAGAAACACTGATTCCTGGACAAGGACCGCGCCCAGGGGCTCAGAGGGCGCAGGGTCTGAGTCCCGTGTCCCAGCTGGCCAAGAGCTCCATGTGGGGCTGAGGGTGGAGGGGCAGACAAGGTCTCAAAGACGACCCCAGACTCTGGCAGGAACAGGAGGCAGAGGGGTGGGCGGTGTTTCACCGCTTCTGAGGACTCTGGCTCCTGCTCTGCACTTTATCAGTCGCTCATCGGTCACTGGGCACCCATGTCGTGCCAAGGCTTTGCTTTTAGAACCGCATGGTCACTCAGGCACATAATGTCCATCCAGAGGAGGACCCAGCCCTCGGGGTGCAGCCTGGGCGCCAGGGTCAAGTCTGTGCTTGGGAGTCGAGGGTGGGGGAAGGGCTACCTGGAACTCCTAAGCAGAGATGAAAACAGAGGTCCTCGCTGAAGGCCTGCTCTTCAGAAGAGAGAGCTGGGCCTGAGGGACAGGTCCAAGAAACGTGGTTTTGTATTTCTCAAAGATTTAAGCAGACATTCCAGCATTCTGTGAGGACAAGCACGAGAGACAAGAGGTTTCCTGATGCCTCATGATGGGGTAATCCGGGTATTGTGACGGGTGATTTGGCATTGCTTTTCTGGGCAACAGTTTGGCAATGCATATCCTCAGTTGGAAACTTTTTATTTATGCTCTTTGACCCAGTAAAGTTACATCCAAGAATTATTAAGAAATGTGCATTAGGATTTATATGCAAGAGTATTCTCTAAATTCATTTTAATATTAAAAACATTCAAAATGACCTGGATTGCCAGCAATATAGAAATTATTTTAAATTTAGAAAATATAAGCTGAGATGTAACGTAGTCTTTAAAAATTGAAAAAATGCATCCAGCAGGGCTGAATAAAAGCACAATTGTCATTTTTCTCTCTGTAGGTAAGATTAAAGTGAAATGGCTCTAAAAAATGTTAGCAGCAGTTATCTCTTCAAAGGAAAACAAAATTAGGGAGGATTTTCAACCAGACTTTCCATTTTTATGCTGTTAATCTGAAAATTCAATTTCCCTAGCACAGACCATTCCTGAGCATTCCAGAATTTACTGTAAATGAGAAGCACTTCTGTGCCCTGCTGAGAAACTTTCCACACACTGTCATGGCCAAATCATATGAAACCCCTTTACTCTCAGAGACTTTCAGATTATACACGTCCAAGAGCCTGGCGTTCATGAAGCCCTCAGTGTTACCAGCTCCTGGCAATGTCAGGCGTCATTTGATTGACTGAGTTAGAAGAGTTTACTTCACCCAAGGGGAATGCTGATAAAGCGGTTTTCCTGCCCAAGGCTTATGCTCTGGCGGGTCTCTTTGCCCCAAATTCCTTCTCTGCCCTGTGCCTGACAAACTCCTATTCATCCCTCAAGGCCCAACTCAAATGTCCCTCTTCCAGCTTCCAGGCAGAATTCATTTTGCTTCTCTTCTGCAAGTTGTCCACACCTATGACAACACTATGTGTCATTGCAAAGATCTGTTTACAAGCTTCTCTTTCTCCTTAAAGCAGGCGTGGCGGGCTGGGTATTTAATCCCTCTTTTCACTTGAATTCCTATGAAAGTCCTGTCACATGGCAGGGACTTAATAGCAGGAGGAACAGGGTGTGCAGAGATGCCCTGCAGGAGAACTTAAAACTCCCCAGATTTCATAACAGTGGCACTCATTTAAAGATAATGGACGTGAATTTTAGGTCCCAGAGGATGCTGGTCCAAAGTGAGGTGTGGGGGGCAGGTGAAGGGGGAGATGAAACAGAAGGGGGTCAAATACTTCACTGACTTGAATGAACTACAAATAGAGATTTAGACTTCCTATTTTAATTCATTGGGCAAAGAATACCCTATAATATCCACATTGAAGAGAAAAAGGATTTTATATTTCTTAAATTGATTAAATCAACAAGCATTATGGGCGTGAATATATTCAGTTGTATCAACAAGTTACTGACTGTGTATGTGGAGTTCCAGGAGGCTGCAGGCAGGGCACCAGGCACACAGGGTTCTCAGGCCTACTCAACTCTATTTGCTTCCTTGAAGCAGCAGATTCCAATGCACTGTACCCCAGTAATCCAAGAGCACAGGCGGAAAATAATAGATTGATCCAGTTTGCCTTCTGCTCCATTCTTTCAGTTTCTAGGCACTGAGTATACTTTAAATGCGCAGAACAGGCAGCACCGCTGTCCATGAAGGCCCAGTGCTCTTGTGTGTGTGCGGGATAGGATTGTAAATTTTTGAATCCATTGCTTTGCATCAGTGCTGATGAAGCTTTCCCGTGCAGACACATTCCCAGGGGACTGTGTTAAAATGCAGTTGTGATCCAGAAGGTCTGGGCTGAGGTCCTAGAATGTGCATTTCTGACCTGCTCCCGGGGGCGTGAAGTGGAGGCGACAACCTTCTGCACCCAAGGGTTCTCATCTGCACCATACAGCACAGAACACACAAGAGGCTCCCGTGACTGCTTTCTCTCTCTCCCATCACCCATGCACACCATTGCCAGCCCAGAGCACACAGAGAAGGAACACATTCCAGAACAGAGTGCCACCGGGGCCGCTACATCTGATTACACCCCCAGAGTTCTGTGGAGAAAGGGAGCCCAAGAGCTTTTTGGACATGTGGCTTTACCTACAGGAGAAAGTTCAAGGTCACCAGCTGACTTCAATTCAGAAATTAAAACAACAGGGACTGTTTCCCCATCGCCACGCAGCACTGCACGACAGCCTGGCTGTCAGCTATTCTTGCCCAGCGTTTGGCTTCGATCCGGACACTTCCTCACAGGAAGCACAACTGGAGACCAAGGTCTCCTGCCCCTGCTCATCAAAGATCCGGTGGTGCAGGTGTCCTGTGGAAGAGCTCCAGGTCGGGGTCCCTTCCCTTCTGACTAATAGTGACCTTGTGCACCCCTGCCCTGGTGCAGCCCGGGTGCTGGGCCTGAGTGCTGGGCCCGAGTGGGTTACAAATGCTCTTTGTCCAAAGGAGGAGGAGATAAAGGAACCGGGTCTGCTCGGTCCTCGCTAATTTGTGAGTAAACACACACGCAAGTTATTGACAAATATGATTTGTCTCTTATTCTCAAGGTCTCCCCAGCGATTCCTGTCTGTGTGCGACTTTCAAGAGGCTGTTTGGTTGAACTGGAATTCTATGCCTTAGCTTCATTTTCGAGCCAGGTAGTACTGGGCGATCGTAGCTGGAATGAGTTTTTTGAACTTCTACATCGAGGATGCATGACTGCTGTCT